AATCTACCGTAACCCACAACAAAATTTATGTGAAAAAAACATAGTTTTTTGGGAGCTGTAACCCGTAACCAAAAGACACCCGTAACGGACCCGTAAAATACCCATAATTTGCCGTAATCTACCCATAATTGATTATGGGTTTTTTTCTGAAAAACATAGGTTTTTTTCAGATGAATTTATGTTAAATTATGTTAGATGTTAAACGATTTTGTTAAGTATTCATCACCATTTTGTAGATTCAGACAATATTTGTCTCATGTGGCCAAACTTTTTGCAACAGAAAAAGTGCGAATAAATTTGCACACAATTCGGACACTTGGCCGTGTTTTGCCTACTTTGGCATCCAAATCAGCAATCTATGGTATCACAAGGGGTGTGATTTGTGAGAAAAATGGTAATGGTCGAGCCAGCTCAATCAAATACTACGTCATTATGATTTTTTTCATGGCAAGGTTGAACTGCTCTGAGCTGCTATGTAGTCTTAGCATTTCTGGAATTAACTACGAAACATTTTGCAGGTATTTTGGCTTTTGGCCAGGTTTGTGCGGCCAGGTTTGTGCAAACTTAGGGTTGGGGAACTCATGTCAATTTCCCGTGCGGATACGGCCCGTTCCATGATGTCCCGGTCAAACTCCACCACGGAGCTGACTTTTGCCATGAATCAGATTCTCTATGATGCTGATGGCAAACTCCCTGATGACCTGGATGCTTTGGAGGAGCCAATCTTTCGTCATGGCCAAACATCAAAGTAGACTCATCCCGCCAGATTAGTGTAGTGGATAATCAAGTTTGGGATTAGATTCCAATTCTTTCAACAAGGGAATATCTCCACCTGACTGAACCCTCATGTATCTTTGATAGATCTGAATGTCCCTGATTCTGCAGGAAATGGAGCGACAATTATCAGACCTTGATGCCCAGGACTCTCAGGCTTGGGGAATCTTGCGGTTCCAAGTTAGTCTGATGATTCCCAACTAGATATTGTGTTTATTGATGACATCGATGCCAAGTAACTAATTATATGCACAATAAATATATAGTTTATCATGTCTTTAATAGTTGATGTACCAAGACATGAGATTAGACATCGCCAGACTCCCATAACCCTTTCTCTGCCAAGCAGCTCCTATCCAGGCTCAGTCTTTGCAACTCCTTGCAGTCGCTACACAGGTGTCTTGAAAGCATTGTGATCTTGTGCGAATTTGGTGAAGATGATGATGATGGTTATGATGATGATGATGATGATGATGATGATATAACATACACCTGTTAAACATATTTTAAGGGTTAGGTTCTCCTACATCCATGTATGGATCGACAACACCCACATATATAACATTTCCCCATCATGTGTCAATACAAGAAAAATAAACACAACTAATTTTAGTGATCGATGTAATGTGAGTTTTCCATAACACCTTACGAGCATTTTCAAGGGTACGCTTTCTGAGGCTACTCCGCAGAGGTCCCAGAAGTTTGCCGAATTGCCGGATACTGTGCCAGCCACTGCTGAGGAGCTCAGTGCGTTATCTAGCAATGGTTCGCCTACTGGTGTTGTGGATTCCAAGCGTTCGTCACTGGATTCTAATGCCAAAGTTGCATCCCCAAGTTCCCCTACATCGTCCCTACCATCTTCGGCATCCAAAGTTGCAGATGAAGTAATTTAACTTGCATGGTATGTTTGGGGTGATGCATTGCAGCACCAGTAGTCACAAATAGATGTACGAGTTAAGCTTGTATGCCATGACAAGGCTTGTATCGCAAGTAATTATGATAAAACTATCTAGATTTGTTGTCAGCTGTTGTCATATTTACCATAAAATACTATGATGCAATTCTTCACTTCGTGATTATTTGCCAAACCCAGTTTCCGACATCGCCCCACTAAGGTAAAGGATCGTGTCCTCAGTCTTCTCTCAGAAGGCAAGATTGATGCGGGGATTGCGAAGCAACTCCTTGGCAGCGAAGATGGAGCTGCAGCCCATCCCCCGACCAGAAAACGTTCCTCTGGTGAGATGACTAAAGACCCTGATGATGGTGATTCCAATGATGAGTTCCCAGAGGGAGAACTGGATGCATTGCTTGACAACGCAAATACAGACAAAAAAGAAACTTGTCCCAAACATGTCAAAAAGTATTTTGTAAATACATGATTACACAGTGTAACATGATAATGCATATGCCATTTCTTCGAAGTAAAAAACGGGATGGTCAATCTTTGCCACCCTTCATCCAGTCTCAGGCAGCCAATGCTGTGAAAGCGAAGTTGCGCAGGCTTTGTGAACCCAAGAAGAACGGACGGCTTCAAGTGCCCCAATGGCTGCATGACGAATGGAAGAAGGGTGACCATTTGCAGATGGCTCGGGAGTATGAATCATGCAACTTCAACAAGGATACCACATGATATCAATTCAACTGAAATATGACATATATGCATGTGCAATAATTACTGCAAGACCGTGATTCTCCCATCACTTCCCGACATATGCCAAGAATCTTGTCCATCGATGTTGCATATCCCCAGCCAGCTCATGATGTTGCCCCCTTTCTCCTCCAATCGTCCAATGTCCTGAGCAGGAGAGATTCATCGCGTACAAGACCAAAACGGTGAGGAAGGAGGACAAGAAAGTCACAGACTTGACGGTGGGGTGGTATAGCAAGGAAGACATGTCGAAGATCCTTAAGTGGAATTCGAATCATGGGCGCAATAGTTTGCAAAGGCTGCAGCGTTGTTTGGCTATAGCTGTTAGCTCTGTATACATTCTCAAAACCTTATCCTTTAGGGTCCTTGATCATGTTGGCTGTCTTGGCTTCTTAGGAAAAAGATTGCCGGAGCCGTCAAGAAGTGTGAGCAGGATAGCTTGCACTTGGTCAGGCTTTCAAGACTTCTTGATTAGCTGATCGTGCTAAGTTTGTTGACATGATTTTGCCCATACAACATCTCAACTTTTGTGACTACATAGTGTATATCGATAAGTCACCTGCCACTATTTTCAGGATAGAGTAAGTAGTGAAGGAGGTCCAACATATGCAGCATTTCTTGGCACATCATTGGATGTGCACAACTTTTCTCATCCAAATCCAGCTACATGGCAGTGTTGTTTTCTCTATTTGGGAGGCGCTGCGAGTATGGTGGGGAGGACGAATACTACATCAAGGTGCGTGAAAGTGGCAACCACCAACAAGCCCTTTCCAACATTGAAGAGCAAACGCAGAGATCCCAGGACAGAACCATTCTCTCCCACATGTTTGCCAGGAATCATGACCGTCAGGCCGCATGCACATTGATGTTGAGATTCGCCAATACTACCTGTCAGGACGATGGGCCCGCTCTTGGGGATGTCCAGTTGGACATGGTTTCAGCCCATGAGGCACGCATGACTGCGGCTGCAAGCTCCCAGTGTGCCCTCACCAGTGAGGTGGGATTTTTTTTCAGTATTGACATTGCATTCCTTCATCCACTTGTAGCAACTGTATACTTCTTGCTACTTGTCATCACGAGATATCAATCCTCAATCACTCCCCATTGACATTTTGATTGCTATGGATTCTTGGTTTAAATTGATCATTGCAACCTGTGAGGCTGCCAGGGCAAAAGACGTCTTCGGTAAGCACGTCGACTCGGTACTGAACAAGTCAGCAAAAATCAGAAACCTGATTAGTGACCTTCAAAAGAATTACCCTACGGATGACACGGCGATGAAGATCCTAGTCTATATATTCATGACCACTTCACACTTGACTCATTTTCACAGCTCACATTGTTTTTGTTAGGAGTCAGTCCCTCCCAGTCTGGCCTCAGTCACTCTTGCCGGCTCACTCCAGGGCAGTTGCTGCTCTCAACAACGACCTCGCAACTCTGGACAATGAGTTCAACAAGCTGTCAGAACATGTGGCTTCAGGTGAACGAGATGATCACCACAAAGAGCAACTAAGAAGCATTAAGACGCATTGTTGGTGTCGCCTCTTCAGCATGTTGATATTGCTTATGGTATGAGTATAGTTGTGACACTTACAAGGGCATTGTGTCTTGAACATCGGTCACATTCTGAAAGAAAAACAATCTTAAAACTTAGGTGGCAGGGACAAGCGGAGATTCTCATGAAGCAGTCGACCTTTACGTGCCTTGGCACACGTTGCATTGGTATGTAGCTCTACTTCTTGAGGTGTCACATAGTTTCCAATGATGTGGTCAGTGGTTACCATAAGTTTGCCTTGTACTCATTCGATCATCCCTAGGTGCACCAAGATTGCCCAGATGGAAGCCAAGATTCGGCGCGCTCCTCAAGAGACATTTGGTCTGGTTGCAGCATCGCTCCATGAAGCGAGTATAGAACATACCTTGGTCATTTTGATTTTCCCGATTGTAACGAACCCATACAAATTTCCTCATGAAACCACTTGCCCTATTCTGGCTTTAGGACGGCGAAGAAGCACTTCAAGAAGCCTGAGGAGATTGTCAAACACGAATAGATTTCTCTTCTCTTGTAAGTCAGGGGTTGGCGAGTTCTTCAATGAACATGCTCAATGGAATGGACTTTGGAACTATTCCAATTGGATTTCCAATACAATAAAATGTTATCTTTGAGGTTGCGTTATATGGATGCAATCCAATTCGATGATCATTGCCTGGGGCTGCGCATGGTGCTGGATTTGCTGATTGTTTTGAATTACTTTCTGATGCCAAAAAAATCCCGCAATACAAAGTCAGTATGTATGTATCTAGTTGTTGCACTTTGGATCACACTTGTTTTCTGCAATGAAGTCACCATGCCTATTGAAGGCAAGATGTGCGTTCCAACCGTTTACATGGGTAGGAAGCTTTGCCTTGTGGCGCTGGATCAACAAAAGAAAAAAAACATGAGTTAGAGCTGATAGTTTCGACTCGTCTTATGCTGGATATGCTGGTCCAAGTTCTTTACCCATTTCTCCAAGAAACAACCATTATCCCCGAGCCAGTGTCCATGGATCCAAAGCCACGCACTTCTCTCAGCCAGGTCGCCTGGGAAGATCTGCAAAGCGCTTTGCGGCCAATGTCGGCGAAGGAGCCATTGGCTTAGATTCCATCCAGCAGCCAACAAACCTTGATGATTCTAGAAAATACCTCCATGACTCGTTTCTGTAGCCCACTGCCGTGGTTCTTGGTAGAAAGCACACGAACAGCTGCATATCATACCTATTTACACAAAGTTACCATATTCATTTATATCATTACAACTTAGATTCGATATAGTCTATAGAGATAAAAATAAGACAACATATGGATAAACACAGAGGGCTCCTACCAGTGTTCTTCAGTCCTGTCTTCACTACAATGAAAGGGTGGGAGTATTTACAAACAAAAAACTTTATCCGTGCTGTCTTCGCCATGCGCTGCGTTGAGCTATGGAAACATCGGATGATGAACTCATTGAGTTACTGAGCTGCCATCGGTCGGCTCCTCGCCTCAATTTGTTCTTCCATGTAACTCCATATATAGTGATTTTTGGAACATACAGCCTGAATGTTTCTAAAAGTCTTCATATCCTCATCTACCTGAGGCTGCACTTGGCCCCTATGCCTGGGAACACAGGCCAATCAAGCGTTTGAGGTCCAATGCCAGAGCGGACAGTGTGCCAAACCCACCGGGACAGGCATATCCAAATTTGCCAGTGGAAACCGGTCAGCCAGATGAGAACACATACCACAATTCCAAAAAGACTTTGTTGAGCTGGGATGACACATACTTACAATACCCTGATCTCAAAGATCTACCTAGGGCCCAAGATGTGTTTCGCAAGATCGAGGCTGACTTAGTACTGAGGATGCCAAGGCCAAGTGTGACTGCAGGACACGTGCTCAGTCATTGCACACAATGCTTTGAAAAAATACTGGCGGAGAACAAGCCAATGACCTTTAAGTTTGGCTTTACACATGACGCAGCGGTCAGGTGGCACAACCGAAAGTTTGGATATGCTTTTTCAAAAGACAAATTTGACTGGATGATAGTGTTGTACGCATCGGCAAGCCCACATGGACCTGCTTTTCTAGAAGCAGCTCTCATAGAGAAGTATTTCGGTTACCTGCTAGCAGTTGAGTGCTCCACCTTTCTGTCTTTGTGAGACGTATTGATGTGTTGTCATTCTTGTATATATCTCAACTTTTGCTACTGTTATTGCGGATTGGTTTTTGACTAGAGGTTTGTGCAGCCTTGTTGTTTCTTCAAGCCCAGGTTTCCAAGGATGCAAAAATATTCGAAAGGGAGGAGACACTGTGAATCAAGTTGACGGTGGCCCATTTCTCACATACCTTGTATATAAGTCCTGGAAGAGACCAAGCATGCAGGTGAGAAGCAAAGGTCACCAGGAGCATGTGTTGGTTTAATTCAACTTTTTGATGGATCTAATTAGTTTATAGAATAGCGCAGCAGTGACGCATGCAGCTAAATGCAAAAGCATTTTCACACGTCTTTTGAGGCAATGCAGCCAAACAATTTGGCAGCAGGGATGTGATATGCCGATGTGACGAAAAGCATGCACATACACTCTGAGCTGAATCGAATTATTTTCAACCATCTTGGTTTGGAATTCTTTGTGTTCTGTCATGGGGATTAGAAATGAATAGATGTGACACCATGATGAAACAGCGTGATGATGTTCAGTGCAGAAGTTTATACAGATGAGTTTCTGTGATCGCTGCCGGTTTCTAAGGCCAGCAGCGTCAGCCAAATACGTACGGCTGAAGCCGTTGCTTCGGACATGGGTGAAGAGAGGGCAGTGGAGACTGGGGTTCATCAGTGGGCCAAGTGTGGCTTGAGAAATAGTGAAAGAGATGTTCAGAAAGTGTTGAAAAAGCAAGGGACCAAATTAGATGTCCGTGTTGAAGAAGTTGTGTGCGATGGGACTTTGGTACCATGTATTACACCTGAGACTTGGTTAGAATGGATTGTAAATCACGGCTTATGGCCGAGCTTGGCTGGATGCTCTCTTGGTGACTATGAGGGTGCGCAACAAAACTGGGCGGAATTTTGGAGGACCTATGAAAAGATTCATCCTGAATTTGATTTGTTTACAATGGATGGCGTTGACTATTCAAGAACGGCTGCAATGTTTGTCCATGGGGACGAAGGACGAACCCTCAAAAGACAGGGAATCCTTGTAACAAGTCTTCAGAGTGCGTTAGGAAGAGGGTTTGACGAGAAGAGACTTGGAAGGCCGAACGATGTTCGCAACCGCAAGCTTCAGGTTAACTTTGCAGGGCACACGTTCACAACAAGATTTGTTTGCAGCACCATCCCAAAGACTGCCTATGATGTGCAACCGGAATTGTTTCATGACAATGTGAAACAAATGGTTATTTCTTGTAGAAAACTGCTCGATAAGGGCTTCACTGACAAGTCGAGGGGCGAAACATTTCGTGTGGTGATTTTGGGAGTGAAGGGTGATGCACCCTACCTATCGAAGGTGGGCCATTTTTACAGGAGCTACAACACAACAACCAAGAGGGGAACAGAAACTTCTGATCCAAAGGGCTGTTGTCCGTACTGTTTGGCGGGCACTCGGTTGTGTAAGGCTGAAGAAATAGCAACTGCAATGCCGAGCTGGATCAAAACAATTGGTGTGAAACTACCTTGGGTTAGGGAACCAGAGGTTATCAAGAACCTTGTGCATGATCGAAGCAACCCGGCTGACTTTTTCAAAAGTGACATCTGGCATGTGTTTCATTTGGGATTTGGTCGTTCATGGATTGCAAGCGTTGTTCAACTTGTGCTTCCACAACTACCTTGCCAAAACTTGGATGAGAAGTGGGATTTCTTGACCGAACACTACCTTCGATGGTGTGAGAGAAACAAGAAGCAGGCTCATGTCAGTCGCATCACTGCATATCTCATGTCGTATAACGACTCTAGTGGAACGCGCGGAGAATGGCACAAAGGTGCCCTTACGAGCAATCTGATGGGGTGGTTGGTCGACCTACTTGGTGACATTCCCCGGGACAATGATGGTTTCCACATGCGCTGCAGGGAAGCTACCTACAGAATGAATGCGAAGTTTTCTTTGCTCTATCGAAGTGGCGCGTTCCTGAATTTTCAGGAGTCTACATTTGTCGTTGAACAAGGGTTGAAATTCTTGGAGATTTACTATGGAATGGCGGTGGAGATGTTCGGACGTGGACGCCAATGGATGTATCCGTTCTATCCAAAGGCACACATTTACCATCATCTTATTTTGCAGGTGCTATGGCAAGCAAAAGCATGTGACCAATCGGTCAATCCCTTGCTCTATGCCTGCCAGATGGATGAAGATATGATTGGAAAAGCCAGCAGGCTTAGCAGACGGGTCAACATTCGTCTGACTGCATCCAGATCGCTTGACAGATATTTGACTGCGGCATATTCAGCCATGGTGGATGCAGGTGTGCTTGCGTGAAAAAAAAACTTAGTTGTGTGTCCGCTACTTGGCCTTGGCAGGATCTGTGCCTCGATCTTCATTAACCAAATCACCCATGATGGGTTCCATTTAGGTGTGGCATGTGGTTGATTAGCTTTTGATCAACTAAGACACGCATACTGAAACCTTTATCCCCTGCTTACCACACATCTGATTATGGGCCATTTCCAGAAACCTGGTTTTTTTAAAAAAACATAGTTATTTCTTAGCAACCCAAAAAAAAGAAGGTTTTTGATTCCCTAGGTATATATACACACGTATATATAACTCAATTGAATTCCAAATGATTTCAATGGGTAGACACTGGCTGTGCCTTATTTTTGTTCTTGACAGTCCCTCCGTAGGGTGTATATAGATTATCCATGTGAGACATGATATTATGCCATGTTACAACATATTACATTGTTCATTCAGCTTGTGATCATATTAAAGATTTGTTGTTTGCTTCATGATAAGATATCCCAACACACACATATATATATATATATATGGGTTTGTCTGAAAATAGGGTATATTCCCAATTATAGCCATTTAATAGGGATAATGATCATTAACCATTGGGTTTAGGGGTACACTATTTTCAGACACACCCATATATACACACGATGTACAACACTTTTCGTGCTTCGATGTTTCGGAGTCAGGAGCTGACAGACAGCTCCACCAGGGACACGGAGAGCTTACGTCCCAGACCCAGAGACGGATGAGAAGTGGAGCAGTTTCAAAAAATGACGCAAATTGATGCAAATTGTGAAAATGTGTCAAGATATTTCAAGATATTTCAAGATTGTGTCAACAATAACTCACAAATCAATACACATCATTCAATCATCACGTTTTCTGGCTCAGCGGCATCACGCTAATTCCAATACAGAGTTGGTTGACCCAAGAGCCGAAGCTTTGTAATGTGCAAGTGACCAGTGATCGTCGCTTTGGGACCATACTAGGGCTTGACGGGCTTCACGTTTTCACAGCCTGCGTTCAATGCAGGTGAAGAAGCAACCAAAAACTTGGAGGACTACAAAACAGCAGCGTGCGGGCCCCCACTGCATCCCATCGCGAGATTCATGGCAAAGGCCTGAACTGCCGAGATGCTCAGTTGCTGAGTTTGACATGAGGGTTCAGCTCTAATCTCAAATCCCTTTAACCTGAAGGTTCTTATAACTCACCTGTGAATGACATGATGTGCTGTTTCGGTTGCAGATTGGTTGCCACCCAGGAATGGTCGTTTGGATGGCCATGATGAGGTGAAAATCGGAAGTGGGCGGACAGTCGGGCAACAGACTGGGGACCTGGTCAAAAGTATAGCCATCATGCGGAAAAGGGGTTGATGATGGTTGATGGTTTATCATTGTGCAGTGATGTGTTTAGGATGTTTCACGATAGATCGAACAAGACATTGCAACCTCTCTAGGATCTCTAGGACTCGCGCCAGCTGTGCCAGGAAAACCTTCAGATGCGCACTGCCCTGATGGAGGTCGAAAATCTTGCGACTCGACGAGTAGAGCCTTGGATGCACAGAAAATTGCAGTGGATAAGCCAACGTGGTGAGAAGCGCATGGTTGCTTTGATTGTATTGAGTCAATTGAGGATTGGGTCATCAAGGATGCATCCAAGCGTTTGCGTGCTGAGCTCAAGTTCCAGAAGTGAAGTCGGATTCAGACATGTATTTGCCGATCTGCGGGCCTTTTTGAAGCCTGAGTTCCAGTCTCAGCTTTGACCATGATTCAGGCAAACAAGCACGGGTTCTTCTATTGCTTGAACATGGGAAAGATATGTGCAAAGACATAAAAAAGAATTAATTACAAAAATATACTAATAGGATCTAATAGGTAATTAATTAATTACTGTATTCGTATGTATTTGAAGAAACCCAGCATGCTTGCAGCCTGCTTTATTCCCCTGCAATTTGGCACATTTTGGCACTTCTTTCCCACTAGAACACTACGAGGCCCAAACAGCGCCAGCAAAGCAAGTTTGCACACCAGCTGGCAGAGACCTCAGATTTTTGGTGATTTTTAGTGATTTTCTCTTTGAAAACAATCGCAGTTTTGCCAGAGATCAGTCCAGTTAGGTTGGCTTCAGTTTTTTCCTCGATTTCACGCCACCTTTCCACGCGACCTCCACGCAACTCCCTGGAACTGGACAAAAAAAGGAATGACTGGCAGCATCTGGCAGCTTTGTGCCTGCAGGTTTTCGCCCAAGTTCGACATGGCAGGTGGACATCAACATCGTCATTTTGCTGCCTACTTTCTGTATTATCTCGTTTTGATGTTTCCGACAATTGAATGTCGTTCTCGTGAGCTCTTTTGTAGACGAAAACTGCTGGCAGAGGAAGAGTAATCTTGAAGATACATCAGATTAATCGGATTCACACGGGCAAACACGTGCACAGAACATGCAAATGCAATCATACTCTAAGCATCTAAGAATCTCTCAAAAGCGTCCAAAACTACTTGGGTGCAACGGGGCCAAATGAACCAGGTGTGCATGGCTTGCAGTTGGAGTTGCAACTCTTTAGGCTGGGCCTGCATTTTGTTTGATACATACTTCCCCTGGGTTGGCTTTGGGTAAGCCACATCTCCTTGTAAACCTGCAAGGCCTAAACCATCTTAAACCTTTTGTCACTGCTTATTTTGCAAAGGATAGATAGATAGTGAATGATAGAGATTATTTTTAGTTTTTTAGATTTGAGAGAGCAAGCCTGAAAGATATGGCAAGGAACAATCGATGTAACGCAGGTTCTTGGCTCTTTGCTTCCATTTCCTGTAGCATGGAGAAAAACGGAGACAATGTTCGACATCATATTACTCAAGTCTCCCGCAATCTCTAGAATTTGTATGATTTTGTGTATTGCTGAGATCCATCTACCATAGTATACCACAGTCACTTCCACAGTCCTTTGATTACTTATTTTACAATCAATCTATAAAAACCATAAGAGAGAGGTGAATCTTAGATAGTCTTAGCACATTGTGGCCTTTTTCTCGTGGCTTTGCTCGTGAATCCAATGGCTACAGCCACGAGCTCGACCCCAAGCTTTGTCGGCTACGGCAAAATCGGGCATGGAACCTGCACAGCAGATGCAGCAGATGCCACATGGTGTGTCACCGAGAAGGTGTGGACAGCGAAGCCTGTCATAGCCAACCATGTGTTACACATGTGTTATGAAAGATGTGGTAAGTGGTCCCAGTACCATGGAGATACAAAACCGAATAAACCGTGTAAACGTGTAAAAACCATTGTAAACCACTTACCAGACGTTACCAGGCATTACGAGACAGACCATTTATCATTTGAATCAAGGAATGTGAAAGCAGCTATACACTGGCAGACTTGAAGGGCAGCTGCTGTGCAAACTGTTGTGACAACGGATGATAGCAGGATGTTGTAATGTTGTAGCATGTTGTAGCAATGTGTTGTTTCAGGTGCACGGTGCCAATTTCTCTGTACACGTCGACGGACGGGGCAAGTTGCTGTGTGCCAAACGAAGGGGATTTCTTGCAGAGCATGAGGACTTTTTTGGTCACTTTGCAATGTTGTGCCTTGCCTCAGCATCTTTAGAGATTGACGGATATTGACGGAGATGACGAGGGTAGTATCTTTCTTAAAATTTACGGAGGGATTTGTGAGCTCAGGACCAAGCTACGAAGGTCATTGCAGGCGTTGGCTCGCGACATTATTGAAAGCTTGGAGGCAGACCACGTGACATACGTGACCATTTTCGGAGACATGGTCGCATTAGATTTTGCTGCAGTGCTTGGATGTGTTCATTTTGTTTTCACATGTTTTCATATATTATGTTTTCATTATTTCCTTCCAAGGAGAGCTTTGTGGTGGAAAATATCCCCACCCTGATGTCACAGAAGTACCTTATGCTCGACCGGTGCAAGTGGGAGTTTGGCGTCTTGGCGTTCCGCGTTTTGAAGGCATATCCATGTGGCAAGGAAGTTGAGGTGTCCACCTGTCGCCGCAAAAGGTTCCTGGTTGCTTCATAGTCCGTCAGGTACAGCCCAGCGATCGAGTTCATTGTGTTTGACGTGGCCATTTTTTCTGGCACGAAACCTTCCTGGTTCTTGCCCTTCAAGTCGGAAGCTTGCTGGCAATAGCAGGATTACATTACAACATCATTAAACTCACAGATTTCAGAAACAAATATGCTGAAATAGTCTGAAATATATGAAACAGTGTGAAGTTAGATTGATGTACTCAAAGGAAGTCTTGCTGCTTCGTCCATCAATCACTTTTCCACGAGATTGAGCATTATCATGAAGAATCTTGTGATACAGAATGATACAGATACACCTCAATAGAGGATGACGGGAGGACACTGAAACTTGAGCCAATGTTGATCTCACCCTTCGGTGAAAGGAGTCGAAAGTCCGTTGCCGTCTATTCGACTGCCCAGGTCACAGACTTCTCAAAGAAACATCAACTTCCAGCAGTGCCTGTGCTTTTTGTTGGAAGCAGAGGAGACTGCTCAAACTATGATTCTCGGCTGCACCCCGCAGCACATGTTTTGCATCAACTTCAGTATTCCAAGTGGCAGCAGCAGCCTGTTTAGTTTGATCAGTTGGGGCAAAACCGCACAACACTTCTTTAGCACCTTTAGAGCAATCCAGGATCCAAAGTACACTTCCCTGGTCCCAAGCATGTTTGCTTTGCCGCCTATTGCGGGCAACTTGGCAGAGGGCATTGTGGTCAAGCCTTGGGATTGCGAAACCCTGATGGATGAACGGCCGATCTTTAAGATCAAAATCCAGGAATTCCAAGAAGGTGAAGGATCTGCACCTCCTCCAGGAGATCCATCCATGAAATCGTATCTCCTGTCCCAGATCAATGAGAATCGCTTGGCCGCGGCGGCCAGCAAAGTGGGTCCTTTGACCGATGTACGGGGCTGGGAGGAGTGCCTTTGAGGCAGCATGATGCAGCAAAGCTCAGCAGATGTTGGCCCAGTAGATCTAGCTGTTTGAATCATTTTGTATATTTGCTCTCCGTGTATAATCAATCAAATTGTAGCAGTCAATGTATTTTTGTTGGTAGCTGAAGTCCAAAACACGTCCAGTTACTGAGGTAAACATGCCTGAAGTGACTGGCATGTTTGTGCTCAGGATCATCAACCTGGTCATTGAAGACATCAGAGATGAAATCGGCAAAGCGCTTAGCTGCAATCGGCAATCATACAAGATCATTAAGGGCGTCAGGTTGTCAGAGTTTTGCACTGCAGAGTGCTGTGTTGGCCTAAATTTATCAAGCTACCGTCGCATGTGTTTGACAATGTTAATTGTATTTTAGTATATATTCTGATACTGGATACCAAGATCACATGATTATAGTTTTAAAAGCAAGATGGCCGTCCAACAAATTTATCATCTCACGTGCTTGTCTCAGGTGATGATCCAACGTTGCTTGCCATGGAACAGCACTTGCGCTGTGTCACGTATGATTTGCTGGAGGAAAGTAGAGCATCTCTGGAGGATGGCCAGGATACCTAGTCGAGCCCTCAAGACAGCTTCATACATTTCATACGCCGCTTTTGAAGGTGTGGCAGGAGCTTGCATGGTCGGTCCATTGTATGTTGATCAGTCAGGATGAAACAGCTACGTTTGGTCGCACAGCCTAATGCCACTGCTGGCAGTGCTGTTGAGCTGTCATTGTGATGAAGCAGCCTTGGCCGGGCAAAACGTGCTTCTAGCTCTGCAATTGTTGCTAGCTCCACATTGGACTCTGCACACATCTGCACACGCTGCCCTTCTGACGGTTTCATGTTGTCCTATTAATTATTGAGTATCCAAGTTGGACCAAGCAGGCCCTGTGTTTGACGCTTGAATTTGACAAAGCGGCTGCGCGGACTGCTGCCATTTCTTGCCACTTTTTTCTGTCGTCGCCCATGCAGTGTGTTGCATCAACAGCTTGCCCATGCCCGTGGCAACATGTTGGAGTGCGCAGTCAAATTTGCCAGTGGAATCGCAGATGAGTAGTCTTGCTGCGTCCCCTGCATAGTAGCAGGCATAGCATAGCTGCCGCTGAACGCTCAAAGTGTTTGAGTCTGCCTTGTGGTGCTGGTGCTTGGAAGCATGTTGGCCCTCCGGTTGGTTGTTGTGGCTTCTGCTTTAGCTGCTGCTGAGAAGATGCAAGCGCCTTCCAGCTTCATCCTGTAAGTGGTGTCTCTTTAAGTGGTGTCTCCTTAAGTGGTGTCTCTTCACCGCGAGAGATGTGTCAAGGAGGGATGGGCCAAGCGGGTGCTTCATTGGACGAGTGCACGGCTGCACTTTCAGAGCTGGACTGACTGACGTGAGGTTTGTAGTCTCACAGGCAGTGGTTCCTTGACGGATTTTGCTGTGAAAAGATGTTTGGCAGCGCAGCCTAATGCTGCTGCTGGGAGTGCTGTTGAGCGATGAAGCAGGGAAGAGTTCAACCTGGGAGTTGCAAGCCAATGGACAAATTAAATCAAGCTGGGGCCAGCAACATGTCCCTGAGCCAAGCCGGGCCTTCCCTCGGCCGGGCAGACTTTAACTTTACCTCTAGCTCTGCAATTGTTGCTAGCTCCACCTTGGAGCCTGCGCACAGAGCTGTCCTTGCTGTTGATGGTCTCGCATCATCCTACTGGGTATCCAAGTTGGACGAAGCAGGCCCTGTGTCTTTGACGCTTGAAGTTGACAAAGCGGCGTTGTTCTCAAAGCAGAGCTTGATTTCGAGATTTGTCTCTTCTTCTTTCGCCCTGCAATCCTGGGCGCAAGTGGACTGACAAGTTTGACACCCGCACATTGGTCCGTCAGGTTCCCATTGACCCGTCGCCTAGCCTACGGCGTGAAGCTTGTGATGAACAAAGCCCCATGCTCCATCATCGACCTTCCAGCTTCATGCTGGTCGGTAGTGTTTGGTAGAGTCTCTTCATGGCGAGAACTTTTTGGAGATGGACCGCATGAGAATTGGACGTGAGGTGTGGAATCTCACAGACTTCAGCCAGTGACTGGCTTGACATCAAAGGACCAGACAGACAACTCCGAAGTTGATGGAAAAGAAAGCTCCAAACAGTTGAAGAGCTGGCAGCCATTGGAAAAATCCGCCATTGTGCAGACTTGTTTGAAGCAATGCTGCGGAAAAGAATGCGTTAGTCACACTGCTGCATCAGGGTTCTTTGAAGGCACGCAGGATGAATGCCTCCACAGGTTTAACATCTTTTAAATTACAACTCTAAGAGTTTTGGGATGTTTTGGGTCACAGTCTAGACTGCAGTAGGATGATAATCATACAACACCATACAGTCGGAAATCTTAGTCCTGTTATGTATTGTTTTGTTCTGTTGGTGTTTGTTTCCTGTTTCTTCCTCTGCGCTGCTTGATTCGTTAGCAACGGGTGCACTCCATGACATCAACATCATCGCAAACGCCCTTGCCCACAAGCCCCTGGCTCCACTTCCCAGGCCTTCAGATTGGGGAGTGACTTGCAATGCAAGCCTCGTCGACACGAAATTGGTTCGGGATCGGGATTGCTTTCTAAACCTTAGTCATGCTAGGGTAATGTGTGTGCTTGCATGAGCTTGCTGAGTTTTCTGATTGCAATCATTTTTACAATTCCCAAATTTAAGGCTGATGGCGAATCATCTGGAGATGTTGCCATCTACCTGTGGGTCATGGTCTCAGCAAGATCCAGCAGGGATCAACCAAGCTGAACCTTGAGGGGTTGACGTTCCTTTTGACCCACTGCCGAACGTATCACTCAAACTGAACTCAACTTGCGTGAGAAAATTGGCATGCCGGAATTGACATACCTTAAACTGCCAAACTGTCAGCTTCTAGTGCATGTGTCCAGAAAGTTTGTAAAGCCATATAAAGCCTGATTTGGGCTGCTATTTTTTTTCCCTCGAGGCGTGCAAGGGGATGTTTGCAACTTAGATTCGCTAGTGCCAAGATGTGCCAGGGGTATACCATGGTATACCACATTGATCCACATTGTATGTGTGGTATATTGTGGTATGCCGGTATGCCACGAAAATCAGGAAACAAAAGAGTTTGGATGGGTTTTGATGGAAATGCTGCAACAGAGGTTACTGCATTGGATTGGGGTTTATGCTATTGAAATGTGAAAGCCTTGATGTTTCTGTGTGACCCAGAATTGGCAATGAATTTGATGTCGGAGACTGTCAAGAACGGGTTACCTGAGGAACTTGGTGTACAAACTCTACTGTGGAAGCGCGCACCTCAAGTCAAAGGGCGAGCCTCTTGCAGAGCACTTCCTAGTGGCAGAAAGGATCATCACGGTTCATTGTCTTGGATGTTGTGTTTCCTTGGCAATAATCAATAGCGATGGCAAGCAAACAAGACAGTATTTCTAGTCTGTGTTACCCTCATCCAATATGAAAGATACAAGGAAGTTCAGCTTGGTCGTGAAGTTGTTGACAGCTTGGTGTATTAGGCAAATCGCAGACCTGCGAGAAAGTCTTCAACGGGAAGGCGCCCAAGAATGGTTTTTGTTTTTCCACTTTGGCTCCACAGCAACAACGTGAACGTGCTGAATATGCATGAAATATCTCTCTGTTTGGTCTTCGCATATGGCACGCTTTAGTCTCAGCTTGTCATGCACTTTGGACTTGCAAAAACCGGTACGTGTAGAGCTTGCGCTGTAGGCATGCATTCTTGCTCACCTACCCTTGGTATCCTTGATCCATGTCCGTGCTGTGCCACAAGGTGCCCTATGGAACCACCCGTTTCTGCTGGTTGAAAGACCAGATCAACCGAGAGGACGACACTCTGAGAATAGGCCAGGCACAAGAGGGCCACGACTAGATACTACATGATACTACTAGTATGAGCTGGTGCCTCCACAAGATCATGAAACATCATGAAAGCACATTTGAAACCACAGAGTTTTTACAAGGTAGAGGTATGAAGAAATCACCATTCATTTATTATAGAAAACTTTGTTCAATGTTTCCTGTTTTCACTGACTCTCCAATGTTCATAGACTACCAGCGTGGATGGTATTGGTTTCCACCAAAGGCATGTTTGCTCAACAGCAATGTCCAGCTGAGGCTGCGAGGTCTTGGAAGCAGTCAGAGAGGTGGAGCA